ATATATATATATATATATATATATATATATAATGATTTTATCATATAGGCAAAACAGTTTACTCACTACAAAGATGCAAGTTCAGTGAGAACCGAACCATTTTCGGTTCTCAACCGTTGAGGTGCAGTTGAAATGCACCGAAACGAACTTGCATCTTTGTAGTGAGTAAACTGTTTTTGTATATATGACAAAATTATAATAAATAATTATTGCTCTACTATCGGTATCGAGCCCTCTTTTGGATTAATGCTGTGAACGTTAGAATTTATATATTACTTTCGTTCTCATTGCAATATGCCACATAACACCCTTGAGCGTGTTTTAGTGGACTCGGCAGTTTTCAATCTGCTTGTCTGAATCATCTTCAAGAAGCGAGAGCAAGATCTAAAAGGTCAGTTAATCTAACAGTGGTCTCATCTCATATTCCTCACCTTTACTCCATATGTGGCCTCCTTTGTAAATCACTAGCGGGTCTTAAGTGCCACTTAAGATTATCGCACCAAATTTCATAACTGAATCAACTAAGCTCTCAGATCATCATACGTCGAAACCGACGGAAGAGTCCATTATATATATATGAGCATGCCTGTGGATAACCAATTTCTGTTCACGAAGAAATACCAACAAAAAACAAATAGGCAGCCTTGATTAACCCAGAATATGTTAAGCCATAGCCGACCGTGAACACTACTATAATATCTATCACACAGGGAATTTGCCACCGTCATTGCACGATTGTTCTAGAAAATGCAAAGTGCAGCTATGAATAAACAGTAGAAGACAAACTCGAACTAAAACGACTTTGATCCCGTAAGTTATCGAAAACCGCTAACCAAATTCTCAAGTTGGCAAAGCGTCAGTAAGGGGTTATCTCTTCCTCGTCAGATATGACAACGATCTTCGCGATGACCTTTGACCTTAGCTCCACTTTAGATGACAAGGGCCATCCTCTTCCCGACTCTTCCCTCTCTCCTTTTTCTGTCACAGCCGAAGAAGTCTCAAGAAAGCTACCGGTCCAGGAAAAAATCCCAGCGGTTGACCTTAATAATATTAGCGCTGAGTTATCTCCAAATATAGCAAGTTTTTAACCGCTACCTGAAGGAGAAATACTTCCTAAGGCTATGGGAGGTGTCATGTGTATGGCTTTTTTTCAAGAGTGCAGGTAAGCGCTCATCTCCGTCAAAATATCGGTCTATCAGCCTCCTTAGTGCCGTCAACAAACTTTATGAGACTATTAAGAACATCAACAAGGATAACACCTTGTGCGACGATCAATATGGATTTCGCTGGGCTCGTCCACTGCTGATATCTTAACTCTCATTACTCACAGAATCAATTAAGTATTAACAAATAAATACATTAGGAGGAGGATTGCATGATATATATATATATATATATATATATATATATATACATTTTTATGTTTATACATTCTTTTTTTAAATAATTGTCGATCTTTGTCCATTTCATAATGTGTGACGTCATTTGTTTACATTTGGATACGCATTGAACAGATATGAATGTACGTGAGAGAATCATGGAAGATTGTAGTATAAAAGCAGTAAATTCGAACTTGCCCACCGAACACTCCTCTGTGGCCCAATCGGGTAAGGCACGTCAGGCTATATGACGGTTCCGTATAGGATACAGGTTCGATTCCTATCAGAGGATGAATATTTTCTATGATATTTTCTCGGACATTCAGACCGGGTAATGTTCTTAATTCTGCTTATTATAAACAGAGCATTTACTTAAATATTTGTATCTATAAAAAGGAATGTATAAACATAAAAATGTCTTAAAATAATTGTCGGACTTTGTCCATTTCATATATATATATATATATATATTTGAAATGGACAAAGTCTGACAATCCGGATCAATAAAGGATAGCAAATTGCTTCTTCCACCGCGAGGAAAGTTGGCTCTCTGTGCCGCGCCAGGAAATTTTTCTCCACGGAATCGATACTTCAAATATACAAATCAACCATTCGCCATTGCATGGAGTATTGCTGCCATATATGGTCTGGGGCACCTGTTTATCTCGGAGTTCTTGAAAAGATCCAGAGACGGATATGTAATATAATTGGCCCTGATCTGGCATCTCGTCTACAGTCACTCTCTCACAGACGCGCCGTCGCCTCTCTCTGTCTTTTCTACGAATATTTTCATGTAATTGCTCCGATGAGCTGCTTTCACTGGTTCCCAGACTCCATGAATTCAAGCGCCCTACGAGGCTGGCATCCCGCTCCCACCCTTACACTGTAGAAACTTTTAAATGTAGCCGTCTCTTCTACTCCAATAGCTTCATACCTCGCACCTCTCGCCTGTGGAACACCCTTCCCAATTACTGTTTCCCTGAAAGCTATAATCTCCAACTATTCAAATGTAATGTCAATCGACATCTCCAATTACCTTGATCTATCCACTATCCCTCTCCTCATCCTTTCTTCTATCACTCCTATCTGCTCTTGCTCCAAATCTTCTGCAACCCCCTGCATCCTAGTGGCTTCCCGCCTTGCTCGGGGCACAATGCTTAAAAAAAAAAAAAACTTGTATTATTATTTTTAACGTATGTAATTATTTTGACAACATTCTTTCCCCAAGGGTCTTTTTTTCGATTGATCAGACACGGTTGAACAGACCGGAATTGCTTAACGAACGCACACAGGGGTGACAAATAACAGAAACACAAATGTAGTGTTAACAATTAAACAAGTTTATTACAAAAGGAAGACAAGAAGTAAGATGCAGCGAAAAGAAAAACAATAAGTCCAAAAGAAATGTTGTGGCACATAAGAATGGGGGAGGGGAATATCTAAATTCTCAGAGAAGTAATTAATGATTAATAAACGTTTTTATAGGCCTTCATGCAAAAATACAACATGACACAATGCATTGAGTAAAGCAATGGCATGAAAGAGAAACAATAATTTATTTAATTGTTACCAAAGTTCGTTTTCTTTTTATCTCACTTCTCCCTTTTTCTTTTTTATATTTCTCTCTTTCTTTTTTCTTT